GATTCCAAGTGTCCAACGTGCATCTTTGCCGCTGTCATCCAGCACGCTTCTGCGCGTTCTCGAAGGGTCCTAAGGAACAGATTTCATGGTTTCCTCACTAACCATTCAAAATCACGCAATGCAAATTTGCAAATGTGTATTTATATCATATAAATTAAATATATAAATATAAATATATATATATATATATATTGTAATTATAGTGTATACATTAAATGTTACATTAATATTTAGTCATAGCTACAAGTCATAGTGATATTTTTGACTATTTGCTTCTTGTTTGTTTATTTGCATGTATGTATGTATGTATGTATGTATGTATGTAATGAAATGAAATGTAAAGTAAATTAAAGTAAATTAAAGTAAATTAAAGCAAAGTCAAGTAAACGTAAAAGTAATGTATGTATGTATGTATGTATGTATGTATGTATGTATGTATGTATGTATGTATTATATGTATTATATGTGTGTATGTGTCTGTCTGTCCGTCTATCCGTCTGTCCGTGTCTGTCTGTCTGTCTGTCTGTCTGCATGCATGTCTCTGTGTCTCTGTGTGTGTGTGTATCATCTAAATAGATGTAAAACTTCTCTCTTTTTCTTCCTTCTGTCCTCTCCCTTTCTAATCTTAATATTAATGCAGGGGAGTGGTGAGCAATGATGAAGTCACCACTCAACGAAGACGCTTCATCATTTGCTGTGATATGACGAAGGGACGCCTTTGTCACGTACCTGCCTTTTTTCATCTAATTTGCATGTTGCAGGATTCAGTTCCTGCCGGATCACTATAATGATCCATTCTTATCTAGTGTGATTCCTATGGTGACTCCGACATGGTGCCATGGGGCCAATTGAGGCAACCCTATTTGGGGTGAATGTCGACTGAATTGACTTCCGAATTAACACATTTTAATCTGGTATTTCGTTTAAGTAAAGTGCAACAGCTGGCCTTACGGTTTTCAGCCGTTTTGAGATTTCCTGCAGCTCCGGATGTCCCAGGGATCCCAGTGATCTGCACTCTTTCAAGTGAAGCCGCTCCGAACAGTCAGAAACTTCTTTTCTTCGTACCTGCAGCTTTAGCTTTTGACATGATACATGACATGAGCAAATGAAGGCAACAGGCATGTCCTTTTCCTGCAGGTGTGGTCTCTTTGGTATCTGGTGAGGTGAAACATGTTGTGCACCTAATTTGCTGGAACTTGAAAGCCGTTTATGCCAATTGGGGCAAGACTTGACCACGGTCCCGGAAAGGGAATAACGCACGACCTTTAGGCATCTAGCAACTGAGTCCTGTTGTTTAATTAATTGTTTTGGTTTTCTTGTCTGTCATCAACTAGTCCCCCATTTGGTCCCTAATTCTCCTCGCGTGCCTCTCCGTAATGTGTCGTGGGGTTTAGGTGTGTGCGCTGTTTTGGTCAGGTCCGTTTCGCCGCGTAGGTTGGTTTTGGAGGTCCGTTTGTTCCCCTCCCCCCCCTGCGCTGTTCTGGCCTTCTGCCCGTCGTCTGTGTTCGCTTTTTCTTCCTCTTGCCTTTCAGGGTTGACCCGGCTTCGACCGGGTGTGTGTGTGTGTGTACCGTCTGAATAGACGTAAAACTTCTTTTACTTATTACATATGTATATACGCGGGGGGTCACCGGGGTCCCTGGGAGGTCGGTGACCAACGAAGACACCTCCCGGGGACCCGTGTAAAGGTACCCGCGGGACTGTGGTGACGCACCTGGGCGCAATTGTAAGACGCAGCTGGTGGTCACCATAGTCCCATATATATATATATTTCATCCATATCTAATTAACTAATCTAATCTGCATGTTACAGGACTCAGTTCCTGCCGGATCACTATAATGATCCATTCTTATCTAGTGTGATTCCTATGGTGACTCCGACATGGTGCCATGGGGCCAATTGAGGCAACCCTATTTGGGGTGAATGTCGACTGAATTGACTTCCGAATTAACACATTTTAATCTGGTATTTCGTTTAAGTAAAGTGCAACAGCTGGCCTTACGGTTTTCAGCCGTTTTGAGATTTCCTGCAGCTCCGGATGTCCCAGGGATCCCAGTGATCTGCACTCTTTCAAGTGAAGCCGCTCCGAACAGTCAGAAACTTCTTTTCTTCGTACCTGCAGCTTTAGCTTTTGACATGATACATGACATGAGCAAATGAAGGCAACAGGCATGTCCTTTTCCTGCAGGTGTGGTCTCTTTGGTATCTGGTGAGGTGAAACATGTTGTGCACCTAATTTGCTGGAACTTGAAAGCCGTTTATGCCAATTGGGGCAAGACTTGACCACGGTCCCGGAAAGGGAATAACGCACGACCTTTAGGCATCTAGCAACTGAGTCCTGTTGTTTAATTAATTGTTTTGGTTTTCTTGTCTGTCATCAACTAGTCCCCCATTTGGTCCCTAATTCTCCTCGCGTGCCTCTCCGTAATGTGTCGTGGGGTTTAGGTGTGTGCGCTGTTTTGGTCAGGTCCGTTTCGCCGCGTAGGTTGGTTTTGGAGGTCCGTTTGTTCCCCTCCCCCCCCTGCGCTGTTCTGGCCTTCTGCCCGTCGTCTGTGTTCGCTTTTTCTTCCTCTTGCCTTTCAGGGTTGACCCGGCTTCGACCGGGTGTGTGTGTGTGTGTACCGTCTGAATAGACGTAAAACTTCTTTTACTTATTACATATGTATATACGCGGGGGGTCACCGGGGTCCCTGGGAGGTCGGTGACCAACGAAGACACCTCCCGGGGACCCGTGTAAACGTACCCGCGGGACTGTGGTGACGCACCTGGGCGCAATTGTAAGACGCAGCTGGTGGTCACCATAGTCCCATATATATATATATATATATATTTTTCATCCATATCTAAGTAACTAATCTAATCTGCATGTCACAGGACTCAGTTCCTGCCGGATCATATAATGATCCATTCTTGTCTAGTGTGATTTCCATGGTGGCTCCGACATGGTGCCATGGAGCCATTTGAGGCAACCCTTTTCAGGGTGAGTGTTGACAGACTTGAATTCTGAATTTACACATTTTAACTTAGTAATTCGTTTAAGTAGAGGGCAACAATCAGCCTTGCGGTTCATCAGCCTTTTCCAGTGTCCCGCTGCTCCTGCGGTCCCATGAGAACCTTGAGTGATGCATTCTTCACAGAGAGACGTCATGCGGAACAACCAGAAACGCTCTTTTTTCGATCACTACAGCTCAAGCTTTGGAAGTGAAACATGCCCATGTGACGAGCTACAGGCAGGCACACGACTTTCAGGTGTGGTAATTCTTTCTTTTGATGGTTGTCTGGTGAGGTTAAACATTTTGTGCATCTAATTCGATGGAACTTGGAAGCTGTTTTATGCCATTGCGGCACGACTTGACCACGGTCCCGGTGCAGGGAATAATCGCACGACATTTTAGGCATTTAGGGACTGAATCCTGTTTTCCGGTTTTGTTTTCACCAACTAGTTCCCCATTGGTCCCCTATCTCATGCTCTCCTCCCTCCCCAGGTAGGTTGGTTCCGTCGCGTGCCTAGGTGTTTGTAGGTTTTCGCTTTGGCAGGTTGGTTCAGGCGCTTCCGTCTTCCCCCCCCTCCGCTGGTCTTGGTCCGTGTCCGTCGACCCTCCGCCTTTTTCTTTTCCCTTGCCTTTTCAGGGTTCGCCCGCTCCGGGCTAGGTGTGTTGGTGTGTGTTTGCTCCTTCCCTCTTCTTTTGCGTTCCCCTCTTCGCGTCCTGGTTAAGTAACGTTCATCTCATTGTCACTCTCATCTCATTTTCATCCCCCGTTCATCCTCACTTTCATCTCATTTTTACGCGCACCACCCTGCCGGAGGCGGGGTGTGTGTGTGTACCGTCTGAATAGACGTAAAACTTCTTATACCTTATATATCTATATGCGGGGGGTCACCGGGGTCCCTGGGAGGTCGGTGACCAACGAAGACACCTCCCGGGGACCCGTGTAAACGTACCCGCGGGACTGTGGTGACGCACCTGGGCGCAATTGTAAGACGCAGCTGGTGGTCACCATAGTCCCATATATATATATATTTCATCCATATCTAAGTAACTTATCTAAGTAACTAATCTAATCTGCATGTTACAGGACTCAGTTCCTGCCGGATCATATAATGATCCATTCTTGTCTAGTGTGATTTCCATGGTGGCTCCGACATGGTGCCATGGAGCCATTTGAGGCAACCCTCTTCAGGGTGAGTGTTGACAGTCTTGAATTCTGAATTCACACATTTTAACTTAGTAATTCGTTTAAGTAAAGGGCAACAATCAGCCTTGCGGTTTATCAGCCTTTTCGAGTGTCCCGCTGCTCCTATTGTCCCAGGGACCCCAGTGCTGCGTTCTTTCAAGGGAAGCCATTCCGAATGTTCTGAAACCTCCGTTTTTTGCAGCAACTTTGCAGCACCGTTGCATCAAATCACGACATATGAATCAGGCAGGCACACGACTTTCAGGTGTGGTGTTTCTTTCTTTTGATGGTTCTCTGGTGAGGTGAAACATTTTGTGCACCTAATTCGTTGGAACTCGTATAGCTGTCTATGCCATTGGGGCACGACTTGACAACGGGCCTGGATTGGCACAACGCACGATCTATAGGTTTAGGAACTGAATCCCGGTTTTGTTTTTGTTTTTCACTAACTAGTTCCCCATTGGTCCCCTATCTCATGCTCTCCTCCCTCCCCAGGTAGGTGGCTCCGTCGCGTGCTGAGGTTTTTTGTAGGTTTTCGCTGTGGCAGGTTGGTTCAGGCGCTTCCGTCTTCCCCCCCTCCGCTGGTCTTGGTCCGTGTCCGTCGACCCTCCGCTTTTCTCTTTTCCCTGGCCTTTTCAGGGTTCGCCCGCTCCGGGCTAGGTGTGTTGGTGTGTGTTTGCTCCTTCCCTCTTCTTTTGCGTTCCCCTCTTCGCGTCCTGGTTAAGTAACGTTCATCTCATTGTCATTCTCATCTCATTTTCATCCCCCGTTCATCCTCACTTTCATCTCATTTTTACGCGCACCACCCTGCCGGAGGCAGGGTGTGTGTGTGTGTGTGTACCGTCTGAATAGACGTAAAACTTCTTTTACTTATTACATATGTATATACGCGGGGGGTCACCGGGGTCCCTGGGAGGTCGGTGACCAACGAAGACACCTCCCGGGGACCCGTGTAAACGTACCCGCGGGACTGTGGTGACGCACCTGGGCGCAATTGTAAGACGCAGCTGGTGGTCACCATAGTCCCATATATATATATATTTCATCCATATCTAATTAACTAATCTAATCTGCATGTTACAGGACTCAGTTCCTGCCGGATCATATAATGATCCATTCTTGTCTAGTGTGTGTGTGTATCATCTAAATAGATGTAGAACTTCTCTCTTTTTCTTCCTTCTGTCCTCTCCCTTTCTAATCTTAATATTAATGCAGGGGAGTGGTGAGCAATGATGAAGTCACCACTCAACGAAGACGCTTCATCATTTGCTGTGATATGACAAAGGGACGCCTTTGTCACGTACCTGCCTTTTTTCCATCTAATTTGCATGTTACAGGATTCAGTTCCTGCCGGATCACTATAATGATCCATTCTTATCTAGTGTGTCTGTATGTATGTCTGTCTGTCTGTCTGTCTGTATGTCTGCATGTCTGCATGTCTGCATGTCTGCATGTCTGCATGTCTGCCTTTCTCTCTCTCTCTCTCTCTCTGTCTCTCTCTCTCTCTCTCCCCTTCCTCTCTTCATCGCCATCAGCTCACCCTGTATACATATGTATTCATTGATCTATTTAATACAATATTAGATACATAAACAATAAACAGAGAATAAACAAATGGCATCCCTCAGGCAGTCCTTGCCAAAGCTGAAACCTCCACTGGGTCACCCAAGGGCGTTCCAGTGCCATGTAGCTCGACGACTGTCAGCTCCGAAGGCTTGATGCCTGCGTCAGAGCAAGCTAAATGGATAGCGTGCTCCTGGGCTATAGGATCCACCGAGGACAATGGCTTCCTCCTGACAGGACGTGCTGACAAAAGGTTTCAAAGGCATCCAGTACATATTTCAATGAATTAAGATAGTAAGATAGATAGATAGATAGATAGATAGATAGATATATATATATTTGATATATTTGTGAGATTTCCTTACCCATGTCATCACATTTTCATGATTTTCATTGATCTTCATGGATTTTCCATGTATATAATAATACCTTTCATCTCAGGCAAATCAACAAGAGTTGCCGTTCTTGAAACATGCCAACCCCATCCTGGAGTTCTGGGTCACGGCAGAGCCCAAGATTCTTCCATGTGAGGGCAGCTCCAAAGCCTCCCGTGCCAGTAGGAAGAGCACACCACCTTCTGCGCGTACGTAGCCATCAGCCTCTGCCGAAAAGGTGTGACAGCGTCCAGAAGGGCTCAGCATCGAAGCGCGTCGCAGGTGACGGAAGAGCTGTTCATCACCAAACAAATTCACCCCTCCAACGATGGCGAAGTCAATGCGTCCTGCCTTGGCATCCTTCAGTGCTTCATTCACCGCCACCAATGCAGAAGAGCAGGCAGTGTTCACAGTGACCGCAGGACCCTGCAAGTCATAGGCATTGGCCACGCGAGCTGCCAAGGCGCTGAGGGAGGCACCGATGGCATGGTAGGCTGAGGGTTTGCCTGAGCTGGCCACCCCCTGCCAGGCCCCAATGTAGACACCCACGCGGTCCCGCACTCTTTGAACAGCCTTTAGGGTTTCTTCTCCTGCATCTTGGAACATGTCACGGGCCAGCTTCAAGGCCAGGGCGTGCTGGGGATCCATGGCTGCCGCCTGACACAGAAGCGTCAGAGTTGTGGCATTCCCCGCTACAGTACCCGACAGCTGGTGGCCTCAAAAATGGGGGGCCATGGGGCCCTTCCGCAGGACATCAACCCACTACTGGGTAGAACATGGTAGAACATAGAACATCTTAGAACCTCCAAAACGAAATGAAACTAACATCTGCCTGGCCTCAGCACCTTCCACCCCGGATTCTTCCGCTGCAGCCAGCGAGGCTTTGTGATCAAACTGCGGCTGCAGGAAGGCAGCACTCAGCCCATCCCTGCAGCTGAACGCACTGTCCTGGTCGTCCTGCTCTAGCAGAGCCCAAAAGCTGCCTGTCAGGCAACGCGTTTTGAATTGTGACACGTGTCTGTTTTTGTGTCACGTTTGAGAAAGTCACCTGCCAGGGCTTGGCAGCACTTCTGATTTGATGCACTCATTCATAGTTGAACAGATTATTAATATGATTTCCCTGGCATCCCTCGCCAAACACGTACCTGGAGATTCCACTCCCGCAGGTAAGCGCACTCCACAGGCCAGAATGTCCAAAGCGCTGGCCGGCGGTTTTTCACCACGGCTAGCGCTCGATGAGCTTTCTTCATCCCAGAAATCAATCAGCTTTTGCACAGAGTCGAAGCGGTACAAATCGTGGGGCGCCAGAGATGGAAAGAGTTTGGCCAGCTTGTGAGCCAGAGGCACCAACTTCTGGGATGCCATACCTTGATCTGCAAAGCTCGTTTTGAAGCAAATGCCCTCGGAATCCAACAGGCAATGCAGCTGGGAACTAAGATGAGCTCGGAAGCCAGGAAGTGATGATCGTTGCCTCGATAGGAGGGGCCCTTGCTTCTCTCCACGGCGCATGGAGCAAGCATAGCCAGCCAGATCGAAGCTGGCCTCACAAAGAAACAAAAATAGATTGGATCTAATTTGACATAGGTTAATGACTCTTCTCCTGCAATTGAAAAAGGGTTGCAATCATTTTTCTGGCTCATCGGCCCAAAGCTCAATCTCGCAATTTCTTTTTCAGTCACGAACTGGTCACGACTCCCACCTCGACGTCTATGCATTTTTGCGCCGGGGTTTCTTTCATGTTCAGAGCTATTCTTAAATTATGACAGCATCTATATATATATTATATTATATTATATTATATATTATATTATATTATATTATATATTATTATATTATATTATATATTATTATATTATATTATATTATATTATATATATAATATAATTTTATATTATATTATATTATAGTATATTATATTATATATTATATATTATATATTATGTATTAAATATTAAATATTATATATTATATATTATATAATATATATTATATATTATATATTCTATATTCTATATTATATTATATTACATTATATTATATTATATTATATTATATTATATATTCTATTTATTTTATTTTCTATTATATTATATTATATTACATTATATTATATTATATTATATTATATTATATATATAATATATTTTTTATATATTTATATTATATGCCCCCAAAAAAGGCCACCATCACCAAAAATCCAGCATCCTAAAGGTCCAACATGCTCCAACATCGCCATTTCCAATGGACGTTCTCGCCTTCACGGCCTGGTACAGCACTGGATGGGGCCCCATCTCCAGCACCACCAGCTCTCCGAGCATCTCCCTGGCGCGCTGCAGCGCCGATGCCAGGTCCACCGGGCAGCGCAGCCAGCGCTGCCAGTGCTCCGGTGGCAGCTCCTCCAGGCGCGTGCCGGTCACTGCGCTGATGAAAGGAACCGAAGCTCGGCCACCCAGTGGAAGGTGAAAAGACATGGGCAGCTCACAGGCCTGGAACTCAGGTCAGGAGAAATGGGTGAAAATGTAA